GCTCAGCCACAGTTGTGTCCCTGCACCACAGTCCTTCCCTCCACCCTGCAAGGTCGCAAACCAGCCCATGACCCCCAACAGAGCCCAGTGTCCAACGGAGCCACAGCTGCAAACAGCCCTCAGTTGCCCCACGGTGCTGCTGGGAGGTCCCCAAGCCCTTAGCAACAGAGTACCCCCCCCCCAGCTCCCCACACCCCACCGTACTCACTGTTCTGGCAGTGCACCCCATCATAGCCTGCAGGGCATTTGCAGATGTAGTCGGTGAAGACATCCCCTCGGTTTGGGACCAGCTGGCACTCGCCATTGTTGTGGCAAGGATTGGGGTGGCAGGGGCCTGGGGAAGGGGGAAAAACGGCTGTAATATGGGCACAGGTGGAAAATAAGAGCATCCAGTGCCACTGTCACTCCCTGACGACATCACATCCTTCCCAAGTGATGGAGGTCACAGCATCCTTGCTTGGATCTCCACTCTATGTGCCCATCAGCAGGGTTGGAGCCCAGGACCAGACCCCAGGGCCAGTGGTGCAGGGCCACGACACGAGAGCATGCTGCCACACTGCAAGGCTCCTGGACTTGATGGATTCCCTGTGATGGGGTCAGCACCTCACCTTTCTCTGTCTCATTGCAGTCAATCCCAACATAGCCCTCAGGGCAGATGCAGAAGAACGGGGTCTCATTAATCCCGGTCAGGCAGGTGCCCCCATTCTGACAGTGGTTCACCTCGCAGAAGTCACCTGGAAGAAAAACCATGTGTCATTGCAAGCCAGCCCTAAGGCAGGCATCCACCCGAGCCCTGCGGATGCACATGGAGGTATCCCGGCTCAACGGCAGGAACTGCTCCCCTGCGGATGCCATGGGGAGGGGAGCGCCCAGCAGGGACCATCTGCCGGATTCTTCATGGCACCGTCGGCCTTCAAGAGCAATAGTTGACAAGAGAGCAGTCAGGACCTGTCCTGGCACATTAAAAAAGGGGTTTAACAGAGCCTGCACATCAAACCAAATCCAGGGGAAACCCAGGTCTTTGACGCATCAAATGTTTCTGCTGCTCAGCTGGGAAGGAGGGGTGGCCAGGCTGGGGCTCGCACAGGCATGAGCAGGACAGGATTGTTCAGGGAATGTGGCTGGTCCCATGGTTGGGTTTTGCTGACGAGTTAGTACTCAAAGACTGAAAAAAATCATTGTAGGGGCAGCCCGTATCTCCAGGTGCTGGAGACACAGGAGGAGGGAGTACAAGGTCCATCCCTGCACGATGCTGGCTGGGATACCGTTCACCCCCCGAGCAGCTCCCACCAGGCAGCCCCAGCCCACAGGCAGGTTCCCCTGGGCAGATGGTGGGGCTTCACCGTCTTCCCTGTCTGTCCATCCACCTCCTGCATCTCCCACGGTATTGGGTTTACATGGTGGTGGTAGCTGGGGGGCTGCAGGGGTGTCTTTTGCGAGAAGAAAAGAGGAGCTGCCCCCACATTGGTGACAATCCCAGACAACTCCAAAACAGACCCGCTGCTGCCCAAAGCTGGGCCCATCACCAACACTGGTGTTGCCTCTGCAATAACATATGTAAGATAAGGTAAAAAACACAGTGCAGCAGCTGTGGGAGAGAGGAGTGAGAAAAATGTGAGAAACAGCCCTGCAGACACCCCAGGCAGAGAATAAGAAGGGGGAGGAGATGCTCCAGGTGCCAGAGCAGGGATTCCCCTGCAGCCCGTGGTGCTGCAAGTTGTCTCCCCACAGCCCATGGAGGACTCCACGTCAGAGCAGTCTGTTCCTGATGGTCTGGACCCCATGGAAAGGAGCCACACTGGCACTTTTTCATCTTGTTTTCTCCTCCCTGTCCTGCTGAGGAAGGGGTGTGAGACAGCAGCTGGGTGGGCACCTGGCAACCAGCGGAGGTCAACCCACTGCACCCATCAACCTTCTGCTCCCCATTGCAGTGCTGAATCAGACTACAAAGGCCAGGCTGAAATTCCTCCCATCCCTAATTTACTCTGCCCCAAGAGCTGCAAGATGGCAACACTCTCCATAAACCTAGACCAGATTCCCACAGATCTGGCTGAAAGCCTCAATAACTTCGTGTCAAGCGCTGGGACAGCACATCCCTTGACGTCAGGCTCTTTTCTGCCATGACGCAGGAGTCAGAACAAGGTCTGAACTCAGGTGGAGACCCAGGAATAACCCCCCTCTACCTGCATGCCCTGGAGAAGGTGGAAGTTAATGAGCTGTGGGCTCGTTGCCCGGACCCACACCAAACAGCACGGCTCTCATTAGCCTAAGCTACTACTCAGTGAGCTCCTACTCATTAGTCTTTTAATAGCAGGGCTCCTTTGACTTAATCCTACTCTTCCTGACACTCCACATCTGTAGGGTATGCACTGGTGGCAGACAGGCCAGCCTTACATGAAGGTTTCCGAAAAGATGCTGTAGCTCCCTTAGCCCAGCCTCGGGAGGCAGAAAAACTTGGGCACTGGTTCAAGTTGCTGCCTGTGCTGCCCAGCCTGTTCTGCATGACCTCATGCTCCATCAATGCGCTGCCATGAGCTACAGGGTGGGAGGAGAGAGCTCGTGCTGATACGTGGGGATGCCTTTGCCCCACGCCCCTCCGCAGATCTCGGGCGCATCCAGCCACCCCATCCCAAGGATCTCTCCCGGCAGCCAGCCAAGGCCTCGCCAACAGAGCTGCTTCTGTTCCACAGCACGAGCCAGCTGCTTCCCCAGGCACAGAGCGCCAACGAACGTGTGCTCCCCAGCATCCACGCTGCCTCCGACGCACGAGTTTCTGGGCTGGGACACAGAAGCAAAGGAGTAAGGGCTTCTCCCAGCGCTGGGACAGGAGGGGTCCTAGTTTCATACTTCAATTATCCCAAGTAACTGGCCTCCCTTTTATACCCTCCCAGGACTAATCCCTTACGTGGTGGTCTTGCTAGCCAGCCCCCTGCCTAGCAGCGACGTACACAAGTCACATTTTCCACTGTGGCAAGTAGTTTTGGATGCTCCTATTCCTCAGCTGTTTCAAGCCTGGTTTCGGAGCAGTTCAGCATCTCCATCCTCCCCACACACATTTTTCTTCGGTCAGGGACAGAGCTGTCACAGGCTGGACAGTCAGGAACTAAGGCAACAAAGATCAGCAACCGCTTTTGGAAATGTTTGCTTATATGAACCCACAGGCTGGCTGGAAGGCAAAAATAACATCCTTCGAAAACTGGGACAGCTCATCCCAGCGGGGCTGGGGGAGGTCAGGTCAAGTCTGTCTCAGGAGGGCAAAATGGGCACCTCTCCACAGGGAGAGGGAGCACAAATGGGACCTTCCTCACAGCACACCTTCCTGCTGCCCTTTATCCCCTGGCCCAGAGCCCGCACTTGGGCTTTGCTCCCCTTTTCCCTGGTCTCACCCCTCCCCTTTCGGAGTCAAAGACCCCAGGCATGACCCACAGTGTGATGATGGACCTGATTCTCCCAGGGCTTCCCCTGGCCAGGCCAGGTGTGCTGTGCCAGGCAGTCCCAGGGAAGCTGTTTACATCATGGGCACGGTTATCTAAGCCTGAAAGCATGGGACGGCCCGGCTGGGGTATTCCCGGCTCCAGAGCAAGGACAGGGCTGTGGACTTGAGCTCCTGCAGCAGCAGCCGTTGGGGCTGTGCGCCCTCTCACTTGTCACGCCTGTACCCCACATGTGGCAGCCCAGACCCTCCCACCCTGCACCCCAGATCTGCACCCCGGCTCCCCTGCACACCAGACAACCCTGCACCTGGATCCCCAGCACCCCGGGCTCCCTGGACCCTCTGCACACCAGACAACCCTACACCCTGGATCCCTTGCACCCTGGATCCCTAGCACCCCGGGCTCCCCAGCACCCAGGATCCCCTGCACTCCCGACCCCTGGCATCCCGGGCTCCCTGGCACTCTGGACCCTCTGCACACCCGACAACCCTGCATCCTGGATCCCTTGCACACTGGATCCCCAGCACCCCGGGATCCCTGGCACCCTGGATCTCCTGCACTCCAGATTCCTGGCATCCCGGATCCCCTA